TTTTTCCATTTATTTTTATTAGTTGGAGGCTAATTACTTTACAATATTGTAGTGGTTTTTGCCATACATTGACATGAATCAGCAATGGATTTACATGTGTTCCCCATCCCGATCCCCCCTCCCGCCTCCCTCTCCATCCTATCCCTCTTTAGTAAGAATTATGCAAACAAAGTTAAGGATCTGGCTCACATTCCAGGGAAGTTGGGGCTAGTAGCTCCTGCCCTCTGCACGGAGCGAAATTCTTTTACTCTCCAGCGCCATCTAGTGTCTCCAAGAAAAATAGCTTGATGATAAGCCAAAGTGTTTCCAAACTTCACCTGTTGTGAGTTGAAGCCTTAACGTAAAAGTGGAGTTGCCGTGAATACACTGAACTTTGAATTGTGTATGGGAAAGATGAGAGCAGATGTTTGCCACGTAAAGCAGACATCTCTTTAGTTGATGTCAGTGAATCAGTTTCCCAACCTGTTTTTTAATAATGTGCAGTAGTCTAGTGTATGGTTCTTTCTCCACTGAACCTATTTCTAAAAATTTGATTTTTTTAAATAACTTGAATGCTTTTTTATTTGTTCATTGCGTCAGCTTAGTCATTATGACTACTGTTACCAATCTCCTTTAGTTTAAATGGCTTAACTTTAGAAATATTTTTGGAAATGTACTGTTACCACAAAAATATTGAATAGTTCATCATGAGTTTCTTTGAAATAAGGAAAAAACTAGCTTATGCCCCGCCACTGCCTGGCGTCAGGACTGATTTCCAGCCCTGTGGCCAGTCTCCTGGCTGGCGTTGGGAGGTGAAGGGCCTTGTCTAGGCCCCCGGCAGAGCTGTCAGCTGCAGTGACCAGCAGGTCGGGGGCCAGGTGCACACCCTGATGCGTGAAGCTCTTCTTGAAAGGGTAGGGCTGGCTGAGATTCGAAGCTTTGAACCTTTCCTTTGTTTTTGATTTTCATACAGCTTTCCATCTCTAGCCTCTAAAAATTTATGCTAATAAAAGTTTTCATAGATTTATACAACGTTAAAGCAGAAATTGATTTTAGAGACTCATCTTAACACGGGATGTTATCGATTATGAATGTATACATAATCGCCTTAATATATTTAATATGTGATATTTGGTGAAAGTTATCATTCATCTTCATGTGAAAATAAATAATGAGTATAATCTTTTTTCATCTTATTAATTTGAACATCCCAGTCAAATTCTTATGTCAAAATTCATAAGAACTGACATGGGGGTGTGGGAAGTACAAACCTTGGGGTGTAAGATAGGCTTCCAAGGATATGTTTTATTACAATATGGAAAATATAGCTAACAGTTTGTAATAACTTTAAATTGGAAGTAAACTTTAAGTATTGTATTGAAGTTCTTTAAAAATAAATCTTTAAAAAACTCATAACGATTGATTTTGAAAAATAAAGTCCTTGCTTCTTTTTTCCATTTCTTTATAAAAACTTTTTTCCACCCATAAGTTGTTAATGCATTAGTGCAGGACCTTCATCAATGAAAAATGCAAAAGGTGTCTTATAAATTATGATTATTTTGCAACATGAAGAACCAAAGCAAGACTTGGCTTACCAGATCACAGCATGTACTATAAATTACAGTAATTAAAACAGTGTGGTAGAAAAATAAACCAAGTGGTACAGAATTGAGAGTTCAGAAACAGACCCAAGTGTACTTGAGGATTTATGTGATGAAAGTGGCAGTTCAGCCAGTAGGAAAAAGAAGGCTCTTCAACCTGTAACTGTCTTTTTGATTATTTCTGTGGAGTGAGTTAAGGTAGATTTAACAAACTTTTCTCTATTCCTGAATACCTATAATATTCAGCCTCTAGCTTGCAGGTTTGTTTTTGACATTTTCTGTTTGCAGTAATAACTGCCCACTAGCCCGATCAACCTCAGAGATCACGTACAACATGCCGTTACCGAACACACACTCCAGATGAATCTGAAAATGATGATTTAATCAGGAATGATGCCAGGAAGGGAGCTGTGGCACAGGGGGACTGTATGGAGTTAAAAAAACGCCGCCCAAAAGAGGAGGGAGCTTCTAGTACAGAGGAGAGACACTGAAGCTGTGAAAGCGCCAAAACAAGCGTCTGACCAGGTTGGCCCTCACTTCCCCTGCATACGATGGGGACTTTCGGCCTCCACAGGACAACTTACTTTTTTGTTAGCACTTGCCCTCAGTTCTCATTTGTAAGCATTTCTATTTGATAAATGTGAACAAAAATCGTAATCAAATTAGTAAAACAAGTACAAAGTCCCCACGGTAAAGAATAATTTGATTTCTGATAATTATTTTCCACGAGAAGTTTTCCACATTGTCAGGTAATTGAAGAATTTCTAAATCATTTGTTTTCAGCAAGTCTAGTATGTGGAGAAGGCAATGGCGCCCCACTCCAGTACTCTCGCCTGGAAAATCCCATGGACGGAGGAGCCTGGTAGGCTGCAGTCCATGGGGTCGCGAAGAATCGGACATGACTGAACGACTTCACTTTCACTCTTCATTTTTATGCATTGGAGAAGGCAATGGCGCCCCACTCCAGTACTCTCGCCTGGAAAATCCCATGGACGGAGGAGCCTGGCAGGCTGCAGTCCATGGGGTCGCTAAGAGTCGGACACGACTGAGCGACCTCACTTTCACTTTTCACTTTCTTGCACTGGAGAAGGAAATGGCAGCCCACTCCAGTGTTCCTGCCTGGAGAATCCCAGGGACGGGGTCGCACAGAGTCGGCCACGACTGAAGTGACTTAGCAGCAGTATGCAAAGTAGCTTGCCGTATTCCCACGGTGCATTATTTGCTTGCCTGTTTCTTGTACATCGTCTAGAAAGTCTACATAGAGGCAATAAATGTTTATATTAAATAAATGATATAATAATACAGGACCATATAAGCTATTTCGTCATTACTGAATTATGAAGCTAGACATAACTTGAAGATATTATTAAATTCAGCCTTAATGGTTTTATAGAAGTCAGCTGGAAGAAGTGTCTGTGGTATATCTTCAAACAACAAACACAGAGTCAACAACCACTAAAAAATATCCAGAGCTTCTGTTGGGAGCTTGCTTTAGCATTTATTTTCTGTTGGTGTCATGGGAACTTCTTTAAAAGTTATCTAAATGACTCGGGTCAATTTAAGTTCATTTCCTGCAGTTCTGACTTTGAATGCAAGATAGATACTAAATCTAATGAAATTCTTATTTCTATGTCACATGTGTATTGGTGCATAATAGATTATAGTAACTATTGTAAAAACAGTGATTGATTTCTACCCACTTTAAAAATGCATATGGTCCAATTGTCAATTATCATCACATATGTAGTTAAATTTTTAAAAATCTTTTTAAAGTGTGTAACTTGTATTTAAACATTTTAAGTTTAATACTTTTTAAAAGAAGCAATTTAAAACTGTTTTTCACAGACATTTTACTTAATAGCAAATTACTGCTTACACCCAATCCTAGCTAATGTAGATATACTAATGAATAAAGCTATTTTCAACTTGTAATCTTTAGATAATGGTGACTTAAAGCACATGGGATGAGCCAAGGCTCTGTTTTCCTTCTCTCTGCTCCCAGTGATTGAAGTAGCTCAGGTTTATAGGGCTCAATCCCTTGTAAGCTTTTACTGGAAGAAAGAGTTCTTTGGCATTGTGTGTGTGTGTGTGGTGTGTGTGTGTGTGTGCGTGTGTGCATGCTGTGTGTGTGTGCGCGCGCGCGTGTGTGTGTGGTGTGTGTGTGTGTGTGCGCGTGTGTGTCTGTGTGCGTGTGTGTGTGCACGTGTGTGTGCACGTGTGTGTCTGTGTGTGCGTGTGCATGTGTGTGTGTGCGTGTGTGTGTGCGTGTGTGTGTGTGTGCGCGTGCTCGCAAGCGGGCTTAGTCGTGTTTGACTCTTTTGTGACTCTATGGACTTAGCCCGCCATGCTCCTCTGTCCGTGGGATTTCCCAGGTAAGAATACTGGAGTGGGCTGCCATTTCCTCCTCCAAGGGGATCTTCCCAATCTGGGGCCGAACCCTCGTCTCCTGCGTCTTCAACATTCCAAAGCTGGAAAACCACATTATCTGTAAAGCAACACATCAGAGGATTGCCTAATACTTACTAGTTCAAAAGGCCATCATCCTTAAGTTACAGCAGTCCCATTTAAGATAAAAGTAAAGTGTTGGGAGAATTTACCAGAACTTTAATATTTTTTAAATCGAGTAGATAATCACCATGCAGTTCTGTCAAAATATTGCTCTCCCTGCCTAAATGATTTGATTAGCAATTCTTGTTTAGTAGAAATTTATTTTAAAATGTAGTTGGGTTTAGTCAAAATGATTGATCATGTTTAAAAAAATAAATTTAAGATATTTTCAAATGTTCTCCACCTGCCTCATCTTTTGAGGGGGAGAGATACACCCAGGCTTGTCCAGTTATTTGTTTACTTATTTATTTTTGGTGTGTATGTGCAGAGAAGAGCAAAGATTTTTCCAAAAGTATTCTAAATCTGTAATATTATGGGCAGGCCAGTTTCAGGAATGGAGTGGCTGATTATTTAAAAAAAAAAGAAGAAGAAGTAACATTCTGAGAAAGATTTTTAATGAACGTGAGAAAGTACAGCCAGCTCACGTCAACTTTGTAGTTACAGATCCATATGCCTCGTCTGCAGGATGCGGGGCTCATCCTGTCTGCTTCTTGATCTGTAGTTTCTAGAGCCCAAGGACAGCTTACGTTTCTGTCTTCATGTTAGTATTTTCTGTGGATAGAAATTGGAGGCTGCTGTTGAGAGTTTTTCCCACGCATGGACATTCATGCGAGTCCTGTGTCTAGCGTGTGTCTTGTGTTCGTGGGAATCCCACCTCAGATGCTTCATCGCAAAGCACCTCCCTCATTTTGGGTCTCCTCTTTGCCTTGGCTCACAGATTTCTTGTGATCGTTAAGTGATGTCTAGGAGTCTTTGTGTCCCATGCCAAAAGCGCAGGACAGTTTCTAGAACGTGTTCTGTTCCTCTTCGCAGAGCCTTTGTGTGTTTATCCCGCCTGGAATCAAGGAAGGAAAACCCAAGCTCATCCCCGCGGGTCCCATCGCCCAGGGCACCACCACCTCCGCCTACGTGGCCAAGTCCAGAAAAACGTTGCTGGTGGAAGACATCCTCGGGGTGAGTGGCTTTTCACCCTTTGTGACATTTGTAACCCGAGGTATTTAATTAAGAAAGACAACATACACGCTTGATGTTATAACTTAAGCCATGTTGTAACAGCATAAAAGCCAAATACCAATCAATAAATGCATTTGTATGTAAGTGAATTCTTTGTACTCCAAGAAATATATCTGATAACCTCCTAAGAGCTAGGTTTGAGTAGCTCTTCTTTGAACATTTGCTTGTATGCTTATATGCATACAAGCCGAATGATCACTGTTTGCTGTTTCGTATCCCAGCAGGGTAGACTTGAACGAGTCAGCTGTATGACTGATGCCCCAGATTTTAGCGGTGTCCTGCAGCAACCACTCACTGTCTCTGCATCAGCCGTTCTGCTGATCCGAGCTTTCTCACATGTCTGAGGCCGTCTGGGCATCCCCTGGGAGCTGGTCAGACTTACATGGCCTTTGTTTTCTGTGTGTGTCCCCACCCCTTCCACTAAGGCTAGCCTGGCATCTTATGGTGGTGGCAGGGGTCAGAGAGAAGTGGACACATGCAGGTGAGTTTTCAAGCCTCTGCTTGCATCAGATTCACGACACTCAGTTTAGCCAACCAAGTCACATAGTGGGCCAGACTCAGTGTAGTCTGACCAAGGCCAGGGGTACAGAGAACAGGACCAGATGGGGCCCTGGGACCAGTCTCCTCCAGTATATGTGCGCGTCGTGATGAAATGTCACTGCGTGAGCTCAGACTTTGAAACTGACAGGCATACAAACAAGGGCATAGGTGTCAGGAATTTGCTCTGAAAAAGTGCTAAACTGGAGCTGCAAAATCTAGATTTTCATTTTATTTTTGCCACTAATTATCTGTGTGACCTTGAACAAATCGGATTGCTAGTTACTGTTATCAAAAAGAAAAAAGTTATCAAAAAGAAAAAAAAAGAGTGCTTAAAATACATATTCCACAGTATAATTACATAGACAAGAATATTATAATTGTCAAACTTTCTAAGAGACTAGGTCTTCATCATTCTCACCACGGAAAAGAAAAAATAATGCCACTGCTGGTGGGGGCCCAGCAGGGCTGGGGATCCTAGTGCCATGTCCAAACGTAGCAGATCAGCTTGCTGTGTGCCTCAGACCCCCATGACGCTGTACACCGAGTCTATCTCATTTTTAGGAGTAAATGTTAAAAGTAGATATGGTATAAATTATCACTTAAAATGTTGTGTTGCATGTATATACAAGCTTTCCAAAGATCTGTCAGTTACAAAGGATATATCCATGCTAGTCTTGATTCATGAAAAGCTTCCCATAGACTGCAGAAAGTGAGTAAATAGAATCGATGTTTTGATATTAATTCATTCAATTTTCTTGTATTCCTTTGACTGGTTTTGCTAAGTTAGCAAATGAATTAGAAGAACCAGTTTCATTTCTTATGATAGGTAATGGGTGATTATTGGTTGATTTGAGTACCTAATAGGGATCTTTGGTGTTCACTTACAGTGACTCTCATTAACCTGTGTTTTTGTGTTATTCTGACCTTAAAAATAAGAGAAAAAAATACATAAATATAATTTCCTGTGGCACTTGGAGTAATCTTCACTTGTGACTTTATGCCTCTTAAGCTCTTAATTTTAACCCTAGAAGGTGAAGAATAAAGAAGTGTTGCTTACAGCTGCTTTTGTGCTCAGTCATGTCCGACTCTTCACAACCCCATGGACTGTAGCCCGCCAGGCTCCTCTGGCCATGGATTTCCCAGGCAAGAATACTGGAGTGGGTTGTCATTTCCTCCTCCAGGGGGTCTTTTGGACTCAGAGATCGAACCCTTGTCTCCTGTGGCTCCAGCATTAGCCGGTGGATGCCTCACCACTTGAGCCACCTGGGAAGCCATCATAATTATTTTATTATTGCATGAATTATTGTATATTCATTAATTGAATTCTCCTGTATAATGATAAAGAGAGATTAGGCACTGTCTGGGTTTAAGTCCCATGTTGCTGAAGTTGCCTTAAACAGCTCAGTGGGTAAATAATCTACCTGCAATGCTGGAGTCAGGGGAGACGAGGGCTTGATCCCTGGGCTGGGAAGATCCCTTGGAAGAGGAAATGGAAACCCACGCCAGTATTCTTGTCTGGGAAATTCATGGACAGAGAAGCCTGGTGGGCTACAGCCCAAAGGATCGCAGAGTCAGACAGGACTGAATGACTAAGCCCAGCACAGGCACAGCCTGTTGTTCACATTTTCTTAAGCAGGGTTCACAGTGACCATCATCGTTGGGCTTTCCTTTGAAAAGGACGGCTGATTAAGGCTTACGAGTTTTAGGGAATTTCTGATAGAATCATAAATTAATGATTCCATTTCTTATATCTTTTCCCCTCCTACTTTTGTAGGATGAACGGTTTCCAAGAGGTACTGGGCTGGAGTCAGGGACGCGAATCCAGTCTGTGCTGTGCTTGCCGATCGTCACTGCGATCGGGGACTTGATTGGCATCCTGGAGCTCTATCGGCACTGGGGCAAAGAAGCCTTCCGTCTGAGTCACCAGGAGGTGAGCCTGGACGCCGCCTGTGGGGGTCTCAGCTGTGCCCGGTTCTCCGACGGTGCTTGTCGATGGTGCTCAGTTAATGAATGGATACCTAGCGAGTGAATGTTTAAAACCAGAACTTGTTTAAAAATATTTTGATATCAATACTAATGATTTAAAATTTTTTTTTCCATTTTGCAGTGATAGTGGGGTAGAAATATAGTAACTTATTGCAGTCAGGATCCATTTGGACCATAAATGTAAAATACCATGTTGTTAATCAAATGAAGCTGTCATGTGGCTTTGGAGGGTTTTCACATTCCTGTTGACTTTGCGTCCCCTTGGAGAGTTCCTCTTCCTAGAACGTGTCCTGAATCAATGCTCCAGCGTTAGGAACATTTGGGAGACACCCCTAGTGGCTCGGGAGTAAAGAACGTGCCTGCCAGGGCAGGAGATGCAGGTTCAATCCCTGGATGGGGAAGATCCCCTGGAGAAGGAAATGGTAGCCCACTCCAGTGCTCTTGGCTGGGAAATCGCATGGACAGAGGAGCCTGGCGGGCTACGGCTCCACAGGGCTGCAAAGAGTCGGACACAACCTAGCAACCACCAACGTCTGTTCACTGTTCCTCGAATGGGAACGGCTCAGTGACGCTAAAACCGAAGACTGCCGTGACCTCTCTGTCACCCGCAGCGCTCGTCCCGGCCCGGGGTGGCCGGCGCCCTCTCCACTCACCCAGATGACCGTCCGCCCCTCCAGCTCCTCTCCGGCAGATCCTGCACCTCGGTTCCCCCTCTGCTCAGACTTCTCTGTCCCCCTCTGGCCGCCTCCTCCGGGAGCGCAGTCTGATGTCACCCGCCCAGGATGGCATCTTCCCTGGGCCCTGCATGCAGGCGCAAGTGGGCATCTGCTCTCTGAGAACAGCGCTGGGCCCCAGCAGGCACCCAGGAATACTCGTTAGATGAGCAGGAAAAAAAAAAAAAAATAGGGTAGCTAGCAGTTTAAGCACTTGTCAGCAAAGTTTGGAGAACGTGTCCTCATTTTTAAAGTGGTCACAAGGAGCTCATTTGAGTCAGTCCTGAGGTGGATGAACCTGGAGCCTGTTATACAGAGTGAAGTCAGCCAGAAAGAGGAAGACAGATACTGTGTAGTAACACATGTTTGTGGAATTTAGAAAGACGGGTCATGTCGAGTCAGCACGCCGGGCAGTGCGGAGACACAGATGTAGAGAACAGACTTCTGGGCTCAGTGGGAGGAGGCGAGGGGGGATGGCTTGAGAGAATGGCGTTCAAACAGGCACCTTAGCGTGTGTGAAGTGGGTGACCACTGCCAAGTTCAGTGCAGGAGCTGAGCGCCCAGAGGTGCTCTGGGACGACCCAGAGCGCTGGGGTGGGGAGGCAGGTGGGGGGTGCAGGGTGGACACGCGTACTCCTGTGGCTGATTCATGTTGCCGTCTGGCAGAAGCCATCACAAAATTGTAAAGTGATTATCCTCCAATTAAAATAAATTAATTAAAAAAGGGGAAAAAATGGTCACTAGAAGCCTTTTTAATAGTGATTTTGTTGACGCGAAAAACAATTATTTTATGATAAATTCATTGGATGACAGGGCTCTTAACCAATGTATCTTCCTTTTTATCCGAAATTAAGAGCAACAAGAGAACATTACACTCAACCGTAAAGAAGTGGGAAATAGAAAAGAGAAGTTTTGTATGTATTTGACAATTTGGTTTTTCAGAACATCCAAAGGTGTGATGACCTCACAAAACTTAAGCTAGTGGCCGTTGTTGGGATGTCTGCATGTGGCTGATGAAAGCTCGCTTCACACTCTTTCTTTCTTTCCAGGTTGCAACAGCGAATCTCGCCTGGGCTTCAGTAGCGATACATCAAGTGCAGGTGTGTCCTTGGGGTGCTTTCGCAGGGCTTCCTGAGAGAAGGGGCGCTTGGAGCACGTCCCTAGGAGACAGGGTGGGGGCTGGCAAGTCACCCAGGGCTTTCTTTGTGGATATTAAATGTTTCCTTATTTCTAAAATGTCTGATCTGGTCACTTATATTTACTTACTCTCTGCCTTAAATGTCTTCCAACTAATTCTTTTGTATTTTTAAATAGGATGTTAAATTATTTGCATTCCATATCGCGGTTTTTGTTTTCCACTGAAAGCCCAGCAATGATATCCTGCTGGCAGTAACATTGATATTTTTATGATCCATTTCCTAAATTAAAACATCCACTAAACTTAGTGGTATATGAAAACATTAAGCTTAAATTTAAGTTCCTTGATTCTCTTGAAAATGTGTTCTAATTTAAAAGATCACAAACTGCATAGAATTTCCATGATACCGAGACTCTTAAGTTCAGGAACATGGCAGCAATAGAATTCTGTTTTGTTATCTTCCATTGTTTCTTGTTTTGTTTAAGTCCATTTCAGCAAACTCAGATTGGTGAGGAACTGTCTGATAGGGAGAGAATGTGTGTGTGTGTGTGTGTGTGTACATCAGTTCAGTCGCTCAGTCACGTCCGACCCTTTGAGACCCCATGGACAGCAGCGCGCCAGGCCTCCCTGTCCATCACCAACTTCCGGAGTTTACCCAAAGTCACATCCATTGAGTCGGTGATGCCATCCAACCATCTCATCCTCTGTTGTCCCCTTCTCCTCCCACCTTCAATCCTTCCCCAGCATCCGGGTCTTTTCCAACGAGTCAGTTCTTCGACTCAGGTGGCCAAAGTATTGGAGTTTCAGCTTCAGGATCAGTCCTTCCAATGAACACCCAGGACTGATCTCCTTTAGGATGGACTGGTTGGATCTCCTTGCAGTTCAAGGGACTCTCAAGAGTCTTCTCCAACACCACAGTTCAAAAGCATCAACTCTTCAGCGCTCAGCTTTCTTCACAGTCCAACTCTCACATCCATACATGACCACTGGGAAGGCCATAGCTTTGACTAGATGGACCTTTGTTGCAAAGTAATGTCTCTGTGCTACATATATATATATATATACACACACACACACACACATAGCAAATAAAATATATAAAACATACATATATATTTTAAGATAATGGTATGAGAAGCAAGGACTTCCTGGATCTGACAGTACTGCACGTAGGTGGGATATATGCTCAAGTACAATTTTTAAAAACTTTGAAGTAGTGATTGTATTATGCCTTTTTAAAGAATAAGGTAAATAATATTCTGCAATTTTCATTCCTAAAATAAACAAAAATCCCTCAAAATTAATAGCCACTCTTTTGTATGGCAGGTATGCAGAGGTCTTGCCAAACAGACTGAACTGAATGACTTTCTACTCGACGTATCAAAGTAAGTGTTCACTTCTAGGGATGTGGTAGCTCTAACTGGCCAACAGTTTAGGTCAGGCGCCGGCCTTGGTCGTGACAGACCACTGTCCACTGCAGTCAGTAGCAGACGATGTGTCTTTATCAGGCACGTGATCTGCTAAGTGTGGTCCATCAGGTTTGGGCTTAGAGAGTTTCATTCTCATCCACATTCAGTTCACAAATGAAGGATCAAAGATGTACACGTGATCATCTTAATTTGCAATTCGGCATATTTGTAAATGACTCACTAGAAGGTATTAGAGACTATACAGAGAGATGCCCTCAGTGTTTCTGTTTCCGTAGGAGAGAATTGGCAGCAATAGCAGGAGGGGAAATGTTGTAGTTTATCATTTTCCTGAAGTCCTCTCTGGCCTTTTCTGTGAACGTCAGTAAATTAAAACATACTATTAACATCATTATTTCAATTTTCCCACATGTAGCAGCTCAGATGCCATTCTCAAGAAGATGCTGCATTTCCCTGGAGTTTAACCTAGACAAACTCTCTTAGGCTGGCAGTGGAAGCAAGTATAGATGTTTATTAAATGTCAGATCCACACCAGGTTTGCTTGCTACAGGGAAGGTCAGGTATTAACATCTCTCTGACCTTCTGCTCAGCGGCTGAGATCTGAGAACGCCCCAGGCTGTGGTAGCTTCAGGGCCCCGCCCCACGACAGGTTATTAACTCCAGGAGCACTCGACGCCGTTACCGCTGACGTGTCACTAGCTTACTCATCACCAAGTCCTGGAGTCCCCTCACTCGAGATTCTGAAGTTGCGTCTTTGTGTTTTGAAATACGGGGTCGGAGGGTGTGCTCTTTTGATCCCCTCGGCCAATGATCAATATCTTCTCTGAGACGGAAGGAGACAGGGTGTCTGGACACCAGATGTGACTGCTTCAGACACGCCTAGGAAGGGAAGCCGTGCTCGGCCTCTCGCCAGCCCATCGGGACACTTTGCAAGCCTCCCAAAGCCCGGTTAAAACCCTCATGTGACGCGTTAAACCTCTTCCCTGGTGGGAAACCCGTTCTCTTCACCCTGATCCTTGCAGGATATTCCTCAGTGCATGTTGTAACTAAGCATATTAACAGCTTCAAGTCAGATTATTTCTCTTCTCGAAAACGGCATTGTTTACTGCTATAAGTTACCTTAACCCTGAATACGCTGCTGATCCTCACAAACCCACACCAAGAGTGGTACCTTGCCAATGGTCTACGTGAAGAGTATTTGCTACACATTCCCTGTAACACGTGCCTGCTGATTTATCTGTTTCTCTGGTCTATGTTTTAATGTATGTGCCATATGCCCCACAAATATTTACTTGCAGTTCATAATGATGAATCTATATTTACTTGGGTAGAGTTGTCAGGTCCTATCATTACTTGTATTCTGATATTTCTTCTCAAATGAATTTCCCTGCTGTTTTTTAATACAGTTAAACTGCATTCTAGCTTTTGGGGCTTTCAGTGATTATTTATATTTTTATCTTATTAATGAGATTTAGCAAATTTCAATATTTTTATTTTATATCAAAGTTATTAATGAGATGTTAAATTTGATGTACCAATTTTATTTCTTCATTGTTTTAGTTAAATGCTACAGACTTTTTCTCTGCCTTGAATACTTGCTGATAAAGTAATTACTGAAGGTGATCCCTGGAATTAGAACCCTATACTAAAGCCAATGATAGACTTCCATTTATCTCTTTAAAATAATACTATTGGTTGTTTCCACAAAAGGACAGTAGTCAAACAACATAAACCTTTCTGTTGGTTTTTTTAATTTAAATATAGACAAAATTGGGAAATGTATTCAAAGTTTAATATGTTCTGTGTTCTAATAACATTACTTAAAGATTTTACCTTTCTTCTTTTTCAGAACATATTTTGATAACATAGTTGCAATAGATTCTCTACTTGAACACATAATGGTAGGTTGCCTTCTGTTTTAAAAATGATTCTGTTTAACCCTTAGTCATGTCCTAATATGGGCTCCCCTGGTGCTCAGATGGTAAGGAATCTGCCTGAAATGCAGAAGACCCAGGTTCTATCCCTGGGCTGGGAGGATCCCCTGGAGAAAGAAATGGCTACCCGCTCTAGTCTTGTTTCCTGGAGGATCCTGTGGATCGAGGAGCCTGGAGGGCTGCGGTCCACAGAGTCGCAAAGAGTTGGACACGGCTGAGTGGCTGACACTACTCCTTCCACGTGTCTTAATATACGATGGAGCGTCTTAATGTACACGGCATCCGTGCTGTTTTAAATATGATAAAAGTGATCTGGAGGCATCACCTTGATTGATCTGTCACTTCAGTTAATTTTGGAGGGGGTTTGAATAATGTTTTGAAAAATACCACAGAATTTTCCATTATTTAATGGAGAGCTAACTTGAAAAATCATTTAATTTCTTTTTCTTTCTTCAGAATACCTTTTGCATGTAGGTTTTATTGGGGATTTCCGATGGATTCTTTCTAACCCTGAGTTTCATTCTACTTAGTTTTAGTCTTAATCATTTCTCTCTTCCAGAAGACTCACAGGCTAGAGCTGAGGGCTCCAGGAAGTAGAGTTTGGTTTTCCCCACGTCTAATGTTGCTGCTCTAGTGCTCGGGAGAGGGTCTGCTGAGGGAGGGGCTCACGGTGGTGGAGGTGGTGTGTGTGTGGACCCGAGCGTGCCAGGCAGGCTTGCTTGGGGCCATTCATGCCTTATTGTGTATTTGATAAGTGTTCTTTCTCCTTCCCATTTTCCTGGTCTTTCTCAAGACGTAGTAATCCTGTGCAACAAGGATCCTTTTAATCTCCAGGTTTAATGGGGTGCACTGATCTGTTTCTCGATGTCATGGCAGGTCAGGCATGGAGTGTGCCATCTCAGAGTCGTAGAAACAGAACGCTTCCTGAGGGTAATGTAGGGGTCATGGCTTTCAGCACATTCTCTCTGTAAGTAGTTACGCTGATGGTTTTACAGTTGACCCTTGAGCTGCAGGAGTTTAAACAGGCCCACTGACACGTGGACTTTTTTCAGTAGTAAATGCTGCAGTGTGACACGACCCGCAGTTGTGGAGTCTGTAGATGTGGGGCTGTGAATACGGAGGAACCACATATGTGGAGGGTGATAGAGGTTATATGTGGATTTTTTATTGTGTGGGCTGTATTCAATGGTCAGCTTTGTTTGGACAGAAAAAGAAAGTAACTGATTGCACAGTAAAAAGAAAAATAGCCTCTTTGGTTATGACAACATTTAAGGAATTTATAAAGCAATGAAAAGTATTTAAGAAGACATAAAAATATATAATATGGACTGACTTGTACCAGGAGTACAAGAAATGCCATTGACCAGTTCTTCTATTCTTAATGTTATATTAGAAAACAGTTTTACTGAGATACAGTTCATGTAGAATACAATTAATCCATTTAGAGTGTTTAATTCAGCACTCTTTAGCATATTCTCAGATAGCCACAGCCATCGCCAGTCAATGTTAGAACATTTTCGTTACTTCAGAAAGAAACTTCCTAGCGTTTTAGGTATCACCTGTTTATGCCCCATCCTCTCAACCCCCAGCCCTCAGCAACTACTGATTTCCTTTCTCTTCTGTGGATTTCACCTAAATCCCACATAAAAGGAATCATGTCATATGTGGCCTTTTGTGTCTGGCTTCTTTCACTTAGCATAATGTTTTCAAAGTTCATGCATGTTGTAGTATATTTCATTACCTCATTCCTTTCTGTAGGCAAGTAATATTTGGTTGTATGAATATGCATACCACAGTTTTGTAATCCATTCATCAGCTGGTAGACATTTGAATTTGTTTCCACATTTTGGCTAATGCAAATGGTACTGTTTTGAACATTTGGGTACATTTTTGTTTGTTTGTTTTAACCCCTGTTTTCAGTCGTTTTAGGTTAAGAGTGGAACTACTAAGTGCTGTGATTACTCTGCTTAACTTTTTGAGGAACAGTCAAACTGTTTCCGTGGCACTTAAGACGATTTTACCTTCCTACCAGCAGTGCACATGGGTTCCCATTTCTCCACACTCTCACCAACATTGGTCATTATCTTAATTTTTGATTATTGCCATTATAGTAGATGTGAAGTACTATCTCAGTGTGACTCTGATTAGCATTTCCCTGGTGACTAATGATATTGAATATCTATCCATATGATGAAAGATTCAGCTCCATGGACGGCTTTTTACTTTAGTTTTCAGTGTTGAGTTCTAAGACTTCTTGCATTTTAGATACCACTCCCTTCTTTGATGTATAGTTGGAAAATATTTTTCCCATCTGTGTATTATTAATATCTTTTCACTTTCCTGACAGCGTGAAGTACTGAAGTTTTTAATTTTCGTGAAGTCTAATTTATCTTCTTCTGTTGCTCATCATGTGTCATATCTAAGAACCCATTACCAAATCAGATACCATGAAAACTTACTCCAATTGTTTTCTTCTAAGAGTTTTGTAGCGTTAGCTTTTACATTTTGTTAGGGTGTTCACTTATGTTAGCTCATTTTTGTTCATGGTGTAAGGGTCCAATTTCATTCTTTTGCATGTCACTACCAGCAGCATTTATTGAAAAGACTGTCATTTCCCCTTTAAACGTGGTTTTCCTGGAATCAGTTGAGCATGCACATATTGTTTTCTTCGTAAGGTCTCAGTTCTATTCAGTTGACCTATGTGTTCAGCTTAATGATAGTACCATCTTGTCTTGATTACTGTTGCTTTATAGCAAGTTTTGAAATCAGCAAGTGTGAATCCTCCAAATGTGTTCTTCTTATTCATTTCTCTTTGGGCTATTTTGAGTCCCTTGCAGTTCCATATGAATTTTAGAAACCAGCTTGTCAATTTCTACCAATAGTTCATATGGGTTTCTGATAGGGATTTTGTTGACTGTAGGTTGGGGAATATTGCCTTCTTAATAATATGAAGTCTTCCACTATAGCAACATCGGCATTTTCCGTTTATTTAAATTTTCTTAATTTGTTCAACACTATTCTGTAATTTTCAGAGTACAAGTATTGCCTTTATTTTGGTACAGTTATTCCTAGATATTTTATCTCTTAATGCTCTTATGCAGGAGACCTGGGTTCAATCTCTGGGTCGGGAAGATCCCCTGGAGAAGGGAATGGCTACCCACTCCTGTGTGCTCGTCTGGAGAATCCCAGGTAGAGAGTAGCCTATCGGTCTACAGTCCATGGGGTCACAAAGAATCAGACATGACTGCGTAGCTAACACTTTCACATAAAGTTATTCCTAGATGTTTTATCTTTTAATGCTATTTAATGCTGTTATTAATGTGTTCTTAATTTTATTTTCCGATGTTTCATTGAAAATTTATAGAAGTAAACTTGCTTTTTATATCTTGATCTTCTGTCCTACAGTCTTGATGAACTCATTATTTCTGGTAGTTTCCTAGTGGATTCTTTAGTCCCTCCCTCCTAATCTGTATATCTTTTTTTCCCCTCCGTTGCATAATTGTCCTGACTAGGTCCCCCAGGGCTGGAAAAGGCAATGGCACCCCACTCCAGTACTCTTGCCTGGAAAATCCCATGGACGGAGGAGCTTGGTAGGCTGCAGTCCATGGGGTCGCTAAGAGTCGGACACAACTGAGCGACTTCCCTTTCACTTTTCACTTTCATGCGTTGGAGAAGGAAATGGCAACCCACTCCAGTATTCTTGCCTGGAGAATCCCAGGGACAGAGGAGCCTGGTGGGCTTCCGTCTATGGGGTCGCACAGAGTCGGACACGACTGAACTGACTTAGCAGCAGCAGCAGGTCCCCCAGGGCAATACTGAATTAGGGGACGGTGAGTGTGGATATCCTGCATCCATTCTGCAGTCTTTCACAGTTAAGTATATGGATTAGTTGTGGACTTTTCATGGGTAGTCTATCAGGGTGAGGACATCCCCTTCTAGTCTTAGTTTTTTTAATGTTTTAAATCATGATTGGATATTGGATATTGTCCTCATTTATTTTCTCTGCATTTATTAAGATGACCATGTGTTTATTTAAATTTTTGTCTTATTGATCTATGGTGTATTATACAGAGTGGTTTTTGGATGTTATATGAACCTAGCATTCCTATGATATATCCCTCTTCGTCATGGAATGTGATTTATATTGAAATTACCTTGACTTCTATAAAACCTTAAGTAGAGTTGATATGTTTAGCATATCGAGTCTTCTTGTACAATAGCATTGTCTTATTTTCAATTAAAAAATCTCTCTTGGTTGAACGTACTGACTTTGATCCCCCATATTTGGTAAGTTGTTTTTTTCAGTTTACAATCTCAGATTTTCAAGAAAGATCATTTATAGTGATAAGTGAGAGCAGTGGTTCTACTTTCCCAGTGTTTACACTATGTCCTTTTTGTTTTTTTAATGTGTTTGCCAGGACCTAAGAATACTGTGGAATGGACCAGGGAGAGTGAATATATTATAGTTTCTTTAATGTGCATGCTTCTCATGTTTCCTTGCTTTGTAGAATTGTTGAAGGTCCCCCAGTAGATATTGTCTATTAACTTAAAAATGTTTCCTTCTGTCCCTTTCTTTGAGTTTATACCAGATTGGGTGTCAGACATTATCAAATTTTTAAGTCATTATTAAAATTATGTAATTTTTCTTCCTTTAATCAATGATGGGGAATTATATTAATTTATCGCTTAATGTTAAATGACTCTGGCATTCCTGGGATAATCGACCCCTGTGTAGTTGGGGTTTACCTGGTAGCTCGGACGATAAAGCATCTGCCTGCAATGTGGCAGACCCGGGTTTGATCCCTGGGTCAGGAAGATCCCTTGGAGAAGGAAATGGCAGCCCACTCCAGTACTCTTGCCTGGGAAATCCCACAGACAGAGGAGCCTGGTAGGCTACAGTCCATGGGATCGCAAAGAGTCAGACACGACTGAGCGACTTCACTTTCACTTTTCATGTAGTTGTAGTCTTTACTCCTGAATTGGTTGCTATTATTTTTCTGACTTTTTCATCTACATACGTAAGTAAGATTGCTTAATGGCTGTCTTTTTTTTGCCTGTACTTAAATTCCCTTCCTCATGGTGTAATTCAGTTAATGGATATTTTCTCCCGCTCCCCGCTCTCTCATATCAGACTAGCCTTGAGCTTATTTGTCAGTCTGGACTCTTTGGTGTAAGGCAAAAGATATCACTGCCTAACTCACATTAGCCTGAGAGAATCAAGGGGGAATTTCTTAGCTTGTATCACACTGGAAAGACTTGAAGTTTCGGAATTCTATGATTGCTGGACCTGGGGGCTCAAATTACATTTTCAGGAATAATCGTTCTGTGTCTGCGAAGCTCACCGCTGTATGGTCCTTGTCCTCTGGAGACTTCACTAACGATAAAAACAGCAAACTTCTACTCCTTCCTCTTTGGCCTTCTAATCTTATATACTATTTTTTGGACACAACCGGATATTTTCAGTCTTTTTAATTAACTTTTATGTATGACAGCTGCAATTTCATAGATATCATTTACTAATGAAATTTACAGTTTAATTATAGCTTTAGTAGTTTATTTGCTCATCAATTTTGCTTACACTCCAGGTTGTCCTATTCTTTCTTGAATTTATCTATTTATTTTTTCTTGAGCTCATCTTCTTTTCCAAAATAGTTTAAGAGTAGTGATTTTCTGAGTACTTTGTACTTTTGCAATATCTTTTATTTTGCCTCATGTCTGAATGTTAGTTTGATCAGGTAAAGAATTTTAAGTTTAAAATGTTTTCCTCAAATTTAAGATACATTTCCACTGAATTTGAAATCCTCTATTGCTGTCAAGAATTATTTCTGCTTATAAGTAAACCTGTGTTTATATGTAGGAGAGAGAGGTGTGTAGGAGACAGGTTGACTTTTATAATGACCTTGTGGCTCAGTTGGTAAAGAATCTGCCTGCAGTGCAGGAGACCTGGGTTTGATCCCTGGGTTGGGAAGATCCCCTGGGGAAGGGAAAGGCTGCCCACTCCAGTATTCTGGGCTGGAGAATTCCATGGACTGCAGAGTCCTTGGGGTCTCAAAGAGTTGGATACAACTGAGCAACTTTCACTTTTCACTTTCTGAGGCTTGGAGTTCATAACTGTTACCAAAATATGCCTCAGTTCAGTTCAGTCACTCAGTGGTATCCGACTCTTTGCAACCCCATGAACCACAGCATGAACCTGTCCATCACCAACTCCCGGAGTCCACCCAAACCCATGTCCACTGAGTCAGTGACGCCATCTAACCATCTCATCCTCTCTTGTCCCTTCTCCTCCTGCCCCCAATCCCTCCCAGCATCAGGATCTTTTCCAATGAGTCAACTCTTCACATGAGGTGGCCAAAGTTTTGGAGTTTCAGCTTCAATATCAGTCCTTCCAATGAACACCCAGGACTGATCTCCTTTAGGATGGACTGGTTGGATCTCCTTGCAGTCCAAGGGACTCTCAAGAGTCTTCTCCAGCACCACAGTTGGAAGGCAACAATTCTTCAGCACTCAGCCTTCTTTATGGTCTGACTCTCACATCCATACATGACTACTAGAAAAACCATAGCTTTGACTCTATGGACCTTTCTTGGCAAAGTGATGTCTCTGCTTTTTAATACACTGTCAAGGTTTGTCATAGCTTTCCTTCCAAGGAACAATCGTCTTTTAATTTCATGGCTGTAGTGCATATTTATTGAAAAACTACAGGTGAGTACAACTGCACAGGTCAAACCTGTGTTGTACAAGGGTCACCTGTAATGAATGTAGGCATAACTAGTTTTATTGTACTTTGCTTTATTGTGCTTTGGAGGTACTGCACTTTTTTTTTCTGTTTTTTTATTTTTTTACAAATTGAAAGTCTGTGGCAACCCTACATTCTGCAAGTCTATTGGCATCATTTTTCCAACAGCATTTGCTTACTTCATGTCTCTGTCACGTTTTTGTAATTTTTGCAATATTTCCAACTGTTTCATTATTATTATATTTATTATGGTGATCTATGATCAGTGATTATTGATGTTACTGCTGTAGTTGTTTTAGGGCACCATAAATCACATGCATATAAAATGCTGCACTTGATAAATGTCTGTGTTCTGACTGCTTCACCAACTGGCCATTCCCTCCTCTCTCTCCCTCTCCTCTGGCCTCTCTGTCCCTGAGAAAACAGGATATTGNTCTGTCTGAACTTACACTAGTTTAAATTAGATGAGACTTTATTTTTGAAGATTCTTAAATAATTTGTATTTGAAATTATTTGGGCCTGATGCCTTTTATGGGGATAAATTTTTTTTTTTTTTACCATATTTCAGTTGTCTGTTTATTCTGATTTCATTCAGATATTTCTCTCCCAAATTCATTTTTTTTCTAGAAAATTGTCCATTTCATCCAGATTTTTACAACTATTAACATAAATATGTGCCAGAGTATTAGGCAACTGACATGACCACTGAGGAGGCAGATTTTACTGTATACGATTTAACCGTTGAGGATCATTATTATTATTTAATAGTTCAAGATCGCCTGAGTTTGCTAACAGTGCAGTCCCACCACTTCCTTCCTTCCTGTATGTTGTTCCTCCTCCTCAAGTGCTTATTGAGAGTTGTTAGGTGTTAGAGATATCTGGTGTGTTCTAACCTGAGGGCTGGCAAACTTACTATGAAGGGCCAATAGTAAAGCTTAATGTTCATGGGCCATAGTCTCCTACAGTTATTCAAGGCTAGTGTTGTAGCAGAACCACTCAGAAAGCGTGGTTCCGTCCCAGTGAAACTTTGTTTACGAGCACAGGCCAGCGGGGTGGGTTTACATGGCCTGTGGACGTTAGCTGACCTTTCTCTAAGCCTGGTTCTGGGCATTTGGGATACTGTGGAGGAAAGGAAGCAGCTTCTACTGCCCTGGAACTCATGAGTCAGCCAGTGGAGGAGACAGGTCACCTGGTAGTTGACACTCACGACGCCCAGGGTACTTGGTTCACAGTGCATAAGGCGCATCCAGTGTTCGTTGGGTGAGTGAGTACCGCTTCTAACGGCAGGGAAGGCAGAGGCAAAAGATGAGGAAGAACAGGTCCCTAAACCGCTCTGATTTCTTTCTATGAAATCTCTACGGTATTTAAACATGAGATCATATATTTTCCCTCTGGCCACAAGGTGGCCTAGGAAACTTTCGCATAGACTTTGTGATGGTTCTTCTCTGAGCAGGCATTTCATGTCTGTCATCTAAAGGGTTGAAGTTGCCAGAATTCTGAATATATATAAATACAACTTTTGTGAAATAGCTATAAATCCCAGCCCACTGGGGACAGTGAAAAATGTTAGGCATTAGAGAAATACGTGTTGAAGGGAATTGATGAACAAATGAATGGCTATATTAATACACAGTTTTCCATTCAGAAAGAGTAAAGTGATGTTGTTTGTCAATTATGCTTCAATAAAAATAAAAGAGAAGAAAGTTGAGGAGATTAAAAAAAAAAAAAAGAAAAAGTGTACTTATTACAATACCTTAGGCCATGGAAGCAGCTCGTGTGAGTTCAAATACCAGATCCACCATCTACTAGCCGTGTGATGGTAGAGAAGTTACCTCTCTGTGCCTCAGGTCTTCTAACGTGCAAAATGTTCTTGTGAGGGTTAAGTGAATCAGTGCACATAAGTACCGAAAAACCGGCACACAGTAAACACTTACTAATTGTTGCACATTATTGTTAGTGTAATAAATAAAGTGCAGCTCATGTAAATAGGAACACTTGGAGTCTCATTAGAGGTTATATTTCATATTTTTTACAACTGGTGTTTCATAAACACCCACCATCGGAAGAGGTGCTGGCCTTGGAGCTGGCCTTGGAGCTGACTGAGACTGGGACCAGGGCGCCAGGGAGGCCTGGGGGGTTCCGGAAGAGGAGCTGAGATGCCAGGTTCTCGGGGAGTGAGCCCCCTCCCGCCCCGGCACCGCAGCGAGGATGCAGAGCAGCTGCTGGTGGCCGCACATGGCCAGGGACGTAGAATTAGTTTCGTCCTTGTGTGCCTGTATTTATCTAATCATGATGCTCAGTTCCCACCCTGTTCTAGTCTCAAACAGCCGCAATGCATGTTTATTTCTGATAACGTTTACCTGCAGCCTCTTTGCGCCTCTCACCGGCTGACTCTCGTTTTCTCGTTTGTCTGTAGATATATGCAAAAAACCTGGTGAATGCCGACCGTTGTGCCCTTTTCCAGGTAGACCATAAGAACCAGGAGTTATATTCAGACCTTTTTGATATTGGAGAGGAAAAGGAAGGGAAGCCCGTCTTCAAGAAGACCAAGGAGATCAGGTACAGCGCGCAGGAGCGCGGCGTTGCCGACGGCAGCCGGGCAGCTGCTCTGTCACCCGCTTGTCTGTGCCTATTCGCAGGTGTGCTGACTGCACTTGTCATACTGTGATATCATTCCCACCAGGACCCGCCTCCTGAAGGTAGTGCTTCTGGGAATGACATTGCAGTGCCAGCGAAACCGCGCCTAGGAAGCTTTAGCGTCACTCCTGGAAATGCCGTCTTCCGGAGGCGGTCCTTTTGGAAATCATGTTGGAAAAAGTTACTAGTGCTCCCAGGTAGGTAAAGGTGCGCCCCACCTGGAGTCTGCAGGGCCTCCTGCATCTAGGAGCAGGTGTACGCAGACAATTTTGTCCCCTCCCCCTTCACAACCTGTAGAGCTGCCTGCAAGTCCGGACCGCAGTGAAAACCGACCCGGGGTATTTCCTAACTTCAGCACATTGTCCTGCAACCCAACAGCTGGCTTAACCGATCACAGAGCACTCTTGTGCTCCAGCTCGAAGCTAAAGAGTTCTTGGATCTGTCAGTGGCCGCTCTTGTCACTTACGTGAGCAGGACGGCATTTGGCTGGTGGCTCAGTCCTGCCACCAACGGAGCACCTATAGCGGCACCGTCACAGAACTAGCACGCATCAAGCAGAGCACTCAGACGCTGTCTTTCTTAGACATTCGCATTTCTTCTGTTTTATATATATATGTTGTTTAACTACTTTTCCTCAAGGTACTCTAAAGTACCGTGGTAGTCGCAACATTCTCAGTGAGATGCTGTCCCCTATTAATAGGGCTCGCTCTTCACCTGGGCCGTCTGACTGCACTCAGGAAGCCTGGAATGTGCCCACACTGCCGCCCGGCACGGGGTGCCTCCCCTCCTCTGGTCCCGGGATGATAGTATGCCATCCTCACTGACTGCAGACCACTGACTGCAGAACTCTGACTGCAGGCACTATTTTTGAAGTTAAGTCGCTCAGTCGTATCCAACTCTTTGCGACCCTGTGGACTGTGGCCCACGAGGCTCCTCCGTCCACGGGAATCTCCAGGCAAGAGTACTGGAGTGGGTTGCCATTTCCTTCTCCAGGGGATCTTCCCGGCCCAGGGATTGAACCCAGGTCTCCCACATTGCAGGCAGCTGCTTTAACCTCCAAGCCACCAGGGAAGCAGGCAGTATTTAGGTTTCTGTTTAAAAAAAAATTTTTTTTTCATTTGTTTGCTTAGAGCTCAGTAGATTCGTCTGGATATAGTCACTTAGGTGAAGTCACTTCTGCTGAAGGTTTGAGAGCTCCTCAGCAGAGCTGGTGTTGGTCCCATTTTGAGGACATTAACTTGGAGCTTGCACTTACAAGTGCGGGTAAAACAGGGACCGGGGTGTGGTTGGCTGTAACTCTCTGGGCTGGCCAGTCAGGGCCAGCCGTTTACGTCAGGGCGCGCCCCTCGGTTACGTTTCCACTGGTGGGAGATAGCAGGTCACACTGGGCTGCCCCCAGACCGAGGAAATCAAGATAAGCCATGAAACCGTTTCTGGTCCTCTGCTCAAGGCCGTCTGATTTGTCGTGTTCATGTTGCTCAAAACACAAGAAAGCAGGGGGCAAAAACAACCTTGTGCTTTACGTAGTACAGCGCTGGGTTCGCTTGGTGGTGTTTTAAGAAAAGTTAATTCTCTTTGGTGTCAATTCTCTTTTGAATTTTCCTTAGGGAAATCCATAGGGTGGAACTTTATGTCAAGAATGATAATTTTCTATAATGCTGAAAATATAATATTGTGAAAGCTCATTTTCAGCTACTGAAATATGCAGTGATTGTGATTACAGATATCTTAACTATGTTTTGAATGAGAGCGTGTATTATTATAATATTGTAATGAGAAAACTATAAACATGAGAATATATTTATGCATAAAAGAAAATACTGATATTAGATATCAAAATATATCCAAGTGTAATCAGATAATGCCTGTATTTTGGCTGTTTTTAAATTTAACGAATTAGAGAAGTGAAGATACCGGAAGTTGTAAAGTGTGTTATTTTGGTATAGTAGTTACATTGCAGAGGCCTTAAAATTGAGGTCCTCTATCTCATGATCATATAACCTGTGTGTTTGGTTATATGTGTGGTGGAAAGTGTACTGATATTGACCTGCATTCCTGTTTTTGTTGTGCCACTCATATTTTAAGTATATTGGCAAGTTACTGAACCCATATGGGTCTCAGCTCACAGGAAGAATTATTTTAAAAAACTCATGTTGAAGCATCTTGTAAATTATAAGGTATTTTGAAATTCTAAAGGATTATTATTGGTTAGTGCAGGAGAAGGCTAGTTAATTTTTAAATTTCAGTTTGTGATTCAGCATAATTTAATACATTATGAATTATGTCTTATAAAGTCTTCAAGTGATTACCATGCAGTGTTTTTCTGCTTTACCTTTATACATTTTATAATAATACAAGCATTTAAAATAGCAGTCTTTTTTATTTAGTATTTGGTGGCAGTGAAGTGTCTCAAGTTATTCTATAACATCTGCATGCTCCTGTCTTCTGTATATGCAGGTTTTCAATCGAGAAGGGAATTGCTGGCCAAGTAGCAAGAACCGGGGAAGTTCTGAACATTCCGGATGCCTACGCAGACCCGCGCTTTAACAGGTGAGACGGGCTCCTGGCCTCCAGCACGGCCTCCGTTCCTGTCCAGCTCAGCTGAAGCCTCTGCGGTAGGGCCCAGCTCTCCACGTCCCAGCTCAGTCAGCTTATTCCTCTTTGGTGCTGTTATACTTTCTTTGAACCAACTGATTATCAGTAGTCAGTGTTTTCAGATCTTTATAAGAAATGATGGATTCTAAACCATTGATTGTCTCCAGCTGTGCATATGTGAGTGCAAAGTCACTTCACTCGTGTCCAACTTTGTGACCCCATGGACTGTAGCCCGCCAGGCTCCTCTCTCCATGGTATTCTCCAGACAAGAATACTGGAGGGGGCGCCATGCACTCCTCCAGGGGAACTTCCCGATTGCAGGGATCAAACTGGCATCTCCTGCATTGGCAGATGGATTCTCTACCACTAGCGCCACCTGGGAAGCCCCTGTCTCCAGCTACAGGAGTTTAAAATGTTTTAAGGAAAACTAAAAAGCAAGAGTTTAAATTTATAAATTTGTTTTTCATTATAATGTGATCATTTTGTCCTAAGCATATTCTTTAGCAAACCGTATCTTCAAAGGCTGTAACACATAGTGGTAAAAGTACCTATTTGGAATCCTGGTTCTCTCCTTTGTTACCTTTAGAATGACCTGAAGTGAGGGACGTAATCTATCGCATCCTCAGTTGTTTTCTCATTTTTAAAATGAGCACATAATACCTATTTGTAGTTTTTTTTTTTTTAATTTTACAATTAGAGAAAATATTCAGAGAAGACCTGGCAACTTCACATGACACAAAGTAGGAACTCAGTAAGTTGCAGACTTTTTTGGATATTAGGGTTGCTAATAAATTTTTGTTTGTTTTGAGTTACTTTGGAGAACTAGAAACCAATTTATGTAATTTTATTAAAAAAACTTTCAAAATTGAAAGTCTCAAGGCTGGTGCCCTGACTGTTGAAGGTATGTTGTTCACGTATTTTGACAGCAGTGTTCTGTGCATTCAAAATCAAGTTTCCTTTAGGGGATAGTTAAATAGCATAAGCAATAGGAAGTTTTTCAGGTGTTTGATTAATGTCATATATGCATAACTTTTATATAAGCAGAGCTGTATCCTGGTAACATATTTTTTCAATAAATTGAGTGTGCTGAAAATCTCAATTTTTGTCTTAAAAAAAAGCCAACTTGTCGTTTTAGTACTTAAATATTGAAAATGCTTTTATATCCCTATATAAAAGCTTTGTAAATAGCATGAAAAGGCAAGTAACAGATTGTGAGAAAAATTTGCAAAATATATAAAATATTTCTATCTAGCATATATATATATATTAAAGAAAACTTCCAAGATAACCCAATTTAATAAATAGGACACAAGATTTTAACAGATGCTTCACAAAATAAGATCAATGAATGGCCATTAAACAGATGAAATATATTTGATCTAAGGAAAATGTAAATTTAGTTGACTATGAAATCCTGTTACATACAAGCTTGAATGGCTAAAATTTTTAAAAATTGATGCTAGCAAGCGTTGGCAAGAATATGGAGAAAGGTGGATGCTCATACCTTGCCAGTGGGAGTGTATGTTTGGACAACCACCTTGGAGAAGAGATGCACAGTGTCTTACAAAGTTCAGCACACAATTATAGCCCTCGTTCAGCTCCACTCCTGGGTAACACTCCAGGAAAACTGGCACCTGTCCACACCAAGATTTGTAGTCAAATCTTGAGGGCCACATTATTCATAATTGCCCCAAACTGGCAATTAACAAATAGTGTTCCTTAACTGATGAAGAGATAAATGAACTGTGATGTGTCCATACCATGAGCTTCTGCAGTGGCTCAGTGGTGAAGAGTCTGCCTGTCAATGCAGGAGACAAAGGCTTGATCTTGGGTCAGAGAGATTCCCTGGAGAAGTGAATGGGTATCCACTCCAGTGTTCTTGCCTGGGAAATCCCATGGACAGAGGAGCCTGGAGGGTTATAATCCATGAGGTCACAAAGAGTCGGATATGGCTGAGCAGCTGAACGTGCACACAGGTATCCACACCACAGAATATACTCAGCAAACAAAAGGGCTGAACTGCTGGTACATGCAACACGGGTGAATCTCAAGCTCATTGCCCTAAGTGAAAGAAACCGATCGGAGAAGGTTACCGTCTAACTCATCGCCTTTAGTTGTACAATTGCTCCTATGGAATGACTCCTATTTTCAAAAACTGTTTTGAAACTATTTCCCCTAAATCAGGAGTCAGCAAATCTCTTCTTTGAAGGACCAGACAATAAGTATTTTCGGCTTTGTCGGCCACAGCATCTGTGTCACAGCTCTGCTGTAGGGCAGCGGGAATCTATCAGGGAACGGTGTGGTTGTGTCCCGTTTATATTGTTTACAAAACTGGAGGGCGCTGGTTTGTACACAGTCTAGATAGCTGACCCCTGCTCCAAATTGTTACAGTGAGAAGTCCCATTTAAGTTTGTTCAGCAAGTTTATGGCTCTCATAAACCTGGCCAGGCGCAAACAGGTCCTTTTACCAAACGTATCAGACTTTTCCTCCAAGTCCACAGCTTGCATGTACTTTGTGATGTGGGATGCTTTAGAACCAAATGAGAAGCTGAACATCTCCTGGAGACCATTATGAAAAACTCTCTTGAGAGCAGAACTGGCTTAGAATATTCCAAGAAGGTTTCCTTACAAACCGCTTGCGTGTCTTTGGGTTTAGACGCTGACAGGTCCGTTGCAGTTAAGTGTGGGAGGAGCGGGACTGGGCTGGGTGTGTGACGGCGCGCGCTCTCCTCTCTCCTTGTGCTGTCTCTGGTGCTGCCGTCCTGCCCCCGCCGCGGGCCCAGAGAGGTGGACTTGTACACGGGCTACACCACCCGGAACATCCTGTGCATGCCGATCGTCAGCCGGGGCAGCGTCATCGGCGTGGTGCAGATGGTCAACAAGCTCAGCGGCAGCGCCTTCTCCAAGACGGACGAGAACAACTTCAAGATGTTTGCTGTCTTCTGTGCTTTAGCCTTACACTGTGCCAATGTAAGTCACGGCGCTTTTACTGCTCGGTATTAAATTCTATGAACTTTGAAAGTGGTTTTTTTTTTTTCCCTTCATTTCCTTTATAAAGCCAAAAGAGTGATTCCTGGTTATGCGTGCCTTAGGAAATACCTTAAAATTCCTTGAAAGGAAAAAAGGAAAGAAAACAGCCTGATTTTTGCGTTTATTCCAAGGTGTAAATTTGATAAAAAGAAAAATGAGGTGAACGTGTAAGGTTTACCTTTCCTGATAACTACCGATGGGATTATAGATGTAATCTACTGATGTAGAGGAGGTCATCCAAACCCTTAGAGGTTGTCATTCCTACTGCGCTTGAGACTCTTGTGCCAAAGAAAAAGAGAGTAATAGCTCGAGTCTCAACACCACGCAGGGAGGTTTCCTCTGCGAGGAAAAGGGAGACAGCTGCTCAGCACGTTTGGCAGGTGCTGTGTGCAGGCGTGCTAGGTCGCTTCACTCGTGTCCGACTCTGTGCGACCCCTTGGGCTGCAGCCCACCAGGCTCCTCTGTCCATGGGATTCTCCAGGCAAGAATGCTGGCGTGGGTGGCCATGCCCTCCTCCAGGGGATCTTCTCCGCCCAGGATTCGAACTTTCGTCTCCTGCACTTGCAGGCAGATTCCTTATCAATGAGCCGCCTGATGCCGTTTATTCATTTAATCTTCACAACAGCCCGGCTCTGTGTACTGAACAGTAAGATGAGGTTCCATTTATTTTATGAAGTCTCACTTTAAAAGAGCTGAATGTACCATCTTTCTTTTACATTTTAAATGAGTTAAATGCTTAGTATTCTATGAACTCTAGTAATCCTTTAGTGACATTCCTGGAATTCTGAACTTGGAGAAAATTTTATTAACCTTTTATAAAGCCAAATCAACATGCATGGGAATTGTCACCTTAGTAATTCAGAGAAATGTGTCTTTTGGAAAATCCATAGGAGCAACCATGTAAGTGATGAAAATAGCAGAGAAGACTCGGAACGAAATGGCAAAAATAATAGTCTGGTGATGAGGGGTGACTGTGTGCAGTGCAGTTAGTCCTTGCCGCATCCTGTGGCCTCTCTCGGGGGCTGAACTGTTGCCCGGCCCATCAGAGACAGACTGGCGCAGCTGTCAAATACTTCTAACTTCAGACACTTCTTATACCAGTGGATCTCCTCATCAGTAAAAATAATGACAGAACACAGCTGTTTAGTTTAAAAGTTGCAGGGAATGTAATTTCCACTATATTCTAAATATTGACTTTTATAATTTTTAAATCTATTCAATGGAATCTAGGTATTAGAATAATTTGACATCTATTAATAGTCCACTTCCCTTGGAAGAGGGCATGGCAACCCACTCCAGTGTTTTTGCCTGGAGAATCCCATGCACAGAAGAGCTTTGGAGGCTATAGTCCATGGGATCGCAAAGAGGTGTACACAGCTGAAGCAACTTAGCACAGTCCACTTACAAATAGAATGAGAAGCTCTTTCAGTTCAGTTCAGTCACTCAGTCGTGTCCGAGTCTTTGCGACCCCCATGAACCGCAGCACACCAGGCTTCCCTGTCCATCACCAACTCCCAGAGTTCACCCAAACCCATGTCCATTGAGTCAGTGATGCCATCCAACCATCTTATCCTCTGTCGTCCCCTTCTCCTGCCCTCAATCTTTCCCAGCATCAGGTACCTTACCACTGAAAAACTTGGTATCATTCTTTTCTCTCTTTGAACATGTGTTTCTGTTACCCCACCAAAGTTTATTCTAATATATGTTATACTTTAAAATGTTTTTTAAATTATAATAGTCTAAAACAAACATATGTGAGGAGTGTTAAAAATTAATTTTGACCTGTAATGTTATGTCATGGACCTCCCAGGTGCACAGTAGCAAAGAACGCCCCTGCCCATGCAGGAGATGCAAGAGACAAGGGTTTGATTGCTGGGTGGGGAAGGTGCTCTGGAGTAGGAAGTAGAAACCTGCTCCAGTATTCTTGCCTGAAAACTTTTGTGGACAGAGGAGCCTGGAGGGCTGCAGTCCATGGGGTTGCAGCGTGGGACACAACTGAGCAACTGGGTACTCAGTTCAGTCTGAGCTCAGCAACTAAACTCAGTTCAGTTCAGTCGCTCAGCCGTGTCCGACTCTTTGTGACCCCATGGACTGCAGCATGCAGGCCTCCCCATCCATCACCGACTCCCAGAGCTTGCTCAGACTCATGTCCATTGAGTCAGTGATGCCATCCAACCATCTCATCCTCTGTCGTCTCCTCCTCCTCCTGCCTTCAGTCTTTCCCAGCATCGGGGTCTTTTCCAGTGAGTCAGTTTGTGACAAATACCACAGACTGGGTGACTTAAACTACAGAAGATTATGCTTCTGTGGTTCTGACAGCTGGAATTTAAAGCTCCAAGTCCTGGCAGTTTGGTTTCTTCAGAGGCCTCTCTTCTAGGCCGGTGGCCTCCTGCCTTCTTGTGTCTCCAGTGGTCTTTTCTCCATGATCTTCTGTTCTAATCTCGTCTTCTTATAAGAGCATAGCGCATTGGATTAGGGCCACGCTAGTGAAGTCTGTAGACCTCTTTCCTCTCCTTCCTGGGGGCTTCCCCAGGGGCTCAGTTGGTAAAGAATCTGCTTGCAATGCAGGAGACCCAGGTTTGAGCCCTGGGTAGGGCTCTGGAGAAAGAAATGGCCACCCACTCTAATATTGTGCCTGGAGAATTCCATGGACAGAGGAGCCAGGCAGGCTACAGTCCATGGTATCGCAAAGAGTCAGACACAACTGAGTGATTAACGTTTTTTTCTTTTTAGTATTCAACCTAGAATCATTCCTTATTCTGTGTCCTAGGCATTTTGAAGTGTATAGTGAAAGTCGCTTAGTCATGTCTGACTCTTTGCAACCCCATGAACTATACAGTCCATGGAGTTCTCCATGGCCAGAATACTGGAGTAGGTGGCCTTTCCCTTCTCCAGGGGATCTTCCCAACCTAGGGGTTGAACCCAGGTCTCCCGTATTGCAAGTGGATTCTTTACCAGCTGAGCCACCAGGAAAAGCCAAGAATACTGGAGTGGGTAGCCTATGCCTTTTCCAACGGATCTTTCCCACCCAGGAATCGAACCGGGGTCTCCTGCATGGCAGATGGATTCTTTACCAGCTGAGCTATCAGGGAAGCCCTTTGGAAGTGTATGGACGGGTTATCTCGTAGGGTGTTTCTATTTTGGTTTTGCCTGGTGTTTCCTCATGGCTCTATCGAGGTCATCATTTCGGTAGGAACATCTCAGCATGCTGTGTGTTCATGGTGCCTGCTGCGGGCAGGCTCTGAGAAGGAGGTGTCTGCCTGGTTTCTCCACTGAAACACCCTTTCCCCCCTGTTGTCACTATTTCAGAAGAGAGTTTACACATAAGCCTGGATTTTCTTTGCTTTCTCTCTCTCTGTCTCTCTCTGCACATCAGAACTTCCTCCTAACTCCACAGAATTCCCTCCAGCTATTTCGTCTCCATCTTTGGGATATTGCTCCCTGAGAATGTGTCTCCCCCTATTTCAGCATCAAGTTTATTTGTACTTATCATCTTTACTTTTTGGGAAGCCATAAGAGTTACTTTCATCTTGAGTCAAGGGGAACAGGAAGAGTTTTATTATAGCAATTGCTCTTAATCTGAACTCCACATGAGCCAAGAGGCCAAAGAGCATGACAATCCTGTCATAAAAAATTGTTTTTAATGATCTATCAGATTCAAATTTATTTAGGTCCACCTTCAGTACCTTATGAAAGCTTTAGAAACCACTTTTAAATCTTATTGACAACAGGATTTAAGAGATTTTCATACTAGTGATACTTGAGAAAGGCGTGATTTGAAATGAGAGGTGGGAAAAGATCATTTTTAGGTAAGAGTCCATGTGAAAATTAAGGCAGTGGAACTTGATCTTCTTAAAATCCATCTATGTTTCTGTGCACCCCTTGAGGAATTACTGTGTCTGTCCCAGGGTGGGCACTATGAAGCCGATTCAGCTGTGCTGTTGAGAAGCTTGCCCAGGGCGTTTTCAAAGCTCTTCTTAACACTGATTGTTGCATCAGAAACACGGACTCAGCCACGATCAAACAACTATACCAACCCGAATGCTAAAGTGAAACAAGAAAAATGACACTCCTTCTGAAAAACCATGAATAAGTTGACATGCGTTCTATTTTAATGTTGGGGCAAAGTTAGTGGAGTTCGTTTATAGTGAGACTGACTTTTTATAAACACTTTGAAACTCACCAGAACTACTTCTGCTCTCCTGCCATGACAGATAGTGTATGTGCCACAGTTTCATAGAAAGTCAGCTCCTGGTGGCGGGCTCCGGGAGTAAACTGCTCTTAGATCGAGCAGACCCAGGCCTGGTTGTTACCTGAAGGTGCGCGTTGAAATCCAGGCAGTGCAGCCCCAGCTCTCTGTGTGGAGTCAATTACCACTTTTTAAACTGCCGTGCATCTTCTCCCCATGAGAGCTTATAAAAACTGCATTGTTTCGGACATTGCCTCCAAACTCAGAAAGCATGACAGCCTCCGGCCCCGCAGCTCAGGTACACCCTCCGCCCCCACCCCGCTCTCTCCACGTGCCTTCCCGTCTGGGGAACAGCTGGTCCTAGAGTTGTTTCTGTTCCAGTGCAGAGGGGATCCCGACTGTACTGCCCTTCTCTACAGTAACACTGGCTTTGTTGAGGCAAGCATCCTCCTAAAGAAAAAAGAAAACGCAGAGAGCACCCACTGTGTGTCCGTGTCTGTAAGTCAGCAGTTGGTTTCTTTGCAAGAGTTTCCTGTCAGAGCCCTCTTCAGGGGAGGATGTCAGATCACAGACCTCTAGATCTGGACCCCGGTTCCTTCGTTAGTCCCACAACAATCCCGAGTGAGGCTGTGATTAGCTCCACTTGATGTGAGAGAGAACAGATACATGGATGCAGTAACGGGGAAGGTCCCTCAGCATGCGTGTGTGTGGCTGGCCGGCTGGCTTTGGACGTGGCTCCGGAGTCCTCGGA